CAGTATTTGATACTGACTAAGTAATAATCACAGCGTTAACTACTACGTTGACACCAGAGTTGACTGCTATTACCTACCTTTGTTGCTGAAGTCATCTATCATGACTACCTCAGCCAGGTATCTTCTGGGCGTCCTCTTGATGACACTGTGGACGGTTCTCATCAGGGTGGACCAGCCCTCGTTGTGGAACACGATCACAACACTAGAGGTCAGCAACCTGTCGTCATAATGCCAGTACTTACACCTACAAGAGGAGAAGAAAAGAAAAAGAGGGTAGAGAGTTCAAGTAACCTTAATGCAGAAATGGTACCTTAATCATTGGGCTCTTCTTCTTCCTCCTTCAGCTTAGCACTTCTCATATCTCTCAATAGTGTAGCTGGCTTTCAATAGAATATGGCGTAAGCTGGACATAAGTGTACCACTGCTGTAATGCTTGAATAATAACAAGCCTCAGTAGGTGGCAGCAAATAACACAGTGTTTGGTACAGATAGAAATATACATGTTATCGGGTTTGCAATAGTACTTCAATTCGGGTCAGGGGAAGTGGAGGTGGGACGTGACATAAAATAATTGAAAAGGTGTTTAGCTCACTTGCTTGCTAACAGCCAAATAACAAAGCAACAGCATCACTCCTCTGCTTCCCCAAAAGGCAGGGTTGATAATATCTACTTCAGACATTCTGAGCAGAGGTTTAACACTCAACTTTATTATGATAAACATTTATGTTTTTTTGTTTAAAAAAAAAAAAAAAAAAAGTGACAGTTCTACTCTACTTTGAAGCCATTGCTTCATTCGAATGTAAGACACCGGTGATGCATTGGTTGAAGCAACTGCTGCTATTGAAGTAAAACCTCTGTCTGTCTGTCTGTCTTCTTCTGTCATTATTTGATGTTTGACATTGCAGACCTTGTTGACTCTTACAGGGCGGAGGATTTAATTGAAGCATATTGCAAAACTAATTCTGGATTCCGCTCTGTTGCTTCACGGTATTGCACTGGGTGTGGCTGCAAATGAGAAACATTTGACATTGCCAAGACACTCCAGCCAAAAGGTACACTTCATAACGGAAGCCAGCAGACAAAGACAATGTCAAACAAACTGGACACAGTCGTTTAAAGCTATGGCGATAATGGCATTGTCTGTTACAGAAATTGGTCTTTAGCAACAGATGAGGCTGTAAGTGTTAGATTAAGGGTACGGTGGGTAAAAAGAGCACTCAACCCTCCCCTTATAATAATAATAATAATAAGATAGTAATTGTTTAATAGCACCAGCTCTTAAAACTGTCATCATTTAAACCAGTATTTCAAATGAAGCACAACGACAACTTACTCTTCATGGCGTATGTCACTGATACTTCTGTCCAATGAGATCATGTCACTTGCCACCATGTTGAAGCCAAACTCTTTGATGGCGGCCTGGACCGCATCTTTGTACTCTGGGCCCAGAACCAGGGGCTTAGCTTCCTCTCCAGGTCCGTCGACGACCCCGTGAGGTTCTGGTACTTTTGGCTCAAAGTTTCCTAGGATTCCTTTCTTCAGAACAGGGATGTCGTAGGCATTTGTGTGGGGCTTGAATGTGACAAACTGCTGCTGAATCACTTGATTTTGGTTGGGCTGCAGTTGGTCAGGGTTCTGGGGATGGTTTAGAAGTCCTGGACACAACAGTCACAGGGTGAACATATGTAAGGTTAAATCACCAAAAAAATAATCTGGAAATTATAATATAATGTCAAACATATAGTAGTGCTTTGTTCATTAATGGTATATAAAAGCTCAAGAAAAAAAAAAAACTACACAAAGTGTATAAAAAGCAAGCCTTGTAGTAGCTAAATGTTAGCTAAAGAAGAGCAGAAGTAAATAGTTGTGGGCTGCAAAAAAGAAATGAGGGAACGTTAGCAAAGAGTTAAAAATGTACTTGTTTTGGACCTGAAGACCAAGCTTTGAATTGCAAAATTATTCATATTATTTCTCTGCATGAACAAATAGGGGATGAGCAACAGGCTATTATAATCATGAACAGTTCATAGAAATCCTTTATGCACTGCCACACCATCCCACCCCCAACTCCAAAGTCTATGTCTACTGGTTGTAAAATAGCATTGATTAAACAGACTTGAGGAAGACACAGGCAAAGAACGTTTTTATGACTGTTATAAAGAATGTGTTGCTTTTTTAAAAAAAAAAAAAAAAAGTTATTTCTGAGACTGACAAATACAACTTACCATTTTTCAATCTAATAGCATTAAGATCAACCTCCACCCCCTCTACACGAGGCCATGGCACCACAGGCTTAAACTGGCCCGCTGGCTCTTGTTTGGCCTGCAAGCTGTCGTCCTGAGTGGAAAGGACACAAATCAGAGTGGTTATTACGACGTATTACAATACACATCACAATAGAACTCGGCGCTTCCATAAATTGTGACGATAGGAGTATTGGAGTTACACGAGAGAGAACACAATAACAGCAATGTCAGGGTTACGACTACGTCTTTTACTGCTCTTTCAGGAACTCAGCAATGGGTGAAAGAGGCCCAGAGGCAGTGTCTCTGTCATTGGTGTGGAACCCCAGGGTTCACCTCCTGGGCAAGATCGAATCCCGGTTAGGGCGGTTGGTACCTTCCAGTGGACTCACCACCCGCAGGAAGGTTCGGGGGGGTTGGTACGGTGCAGTGTGATTTGGGTGGCGGTTATAGAGACTGCTGCCCCCATGACCCGGTAACGGAAAAGTGTATGAAAATGCATGGATGGATGGATGGATGGAATCACCAAAACTCTCCCGCTTCCATGTTGAGTAAAGTCCACTGGTCACTAGGATGTTTCACCAATGGGTATATGCAGAGAGTAGTTCTGTTTACCACAGCGGTTATGTCCAGGGTGGCATAATTCATTGGAAGCCCCTCACGCTCCCGCCACCCCAGGGGGGCCCAGCCAACTATTTGAGAGGCACTGGTTTTACCAGAATAATACTGAGTATTGAAAAAAGGCTAAAGACTCCAATTCTACTTGTTTTCATGTTAAGTAATTCAATCAAATTAGTGTGTCCAGATATAAGCAATAGCTAAGTGCACGGACCGTTCTAGTAATGTTGTGCAATAGTCAATAAAACCTTAAGAGCAAGATCATAATCATGTCTCTATCCAAACAATCACACAGAGGTACAAAGCAATACTCGGGCAGAATAAATATCTCAATTTCCTAGCCTCAGGCCAAGTTGAGTGTTGAGATTAGTATGCGGAAGTGACTTTTTTTTTTTTGCTTTTTTTTTACATTTATATATGTACATATATATAAATATATATATGTACATATATGTACATATATATGTACACATATGTACATATATACATACATATACATATATACATACATATATATATACATATATATATACATACTACAGAATGAACAATAACATTTTCAACCTGAAAGAATAAACTCTAAAAATCTAATCTAAATCTTCTAATTTTCCACACTTATATCATCATCATACTTGACTGTCTGTCATTCAAGACCACTGTCACGGGGATGGAAAGGACCCAATAGCAGGACAACCTAGTCAGGATTAACTCAGTCTTTATTAGAAGCAAACAGAGCACTACAGCTAGCAAATGAGGTCTGGAAACAACAGACAGGGATCGTTACAGAAGCTCAGACAAGGCAATGTCCTTAGGCAGGTCAGGTCTGGATCAATAAACAGCTAAACATATAGGTTAGAAGTGGTTGAGCAGAACGAAGGAGCAAAGGCAGGAGCTGATTAAAGGAGCAAGGGCGCAAGATACAGACTGCGACATCCACAAAGTTTGCAGAGAAGAAGCTGACTGAAGTAAAAGTGTGAACCCATTAGATTGTAAGAACACAGATGAAGTAAAAGTGTGAACCCATTAGATTTTAACACAGATTTTTTTTTTTTAAGCAACAGACTAGGTCATTAAGCAAGCAGTCGTGGTTGGAAACGGAAAACAACCATTAAGATATTTCGAAACGGGCCTTCCATTTGAGTCATTGCACAAACCAATAACAAGGTAAAAACTGAGGTTTGTTTTCAAATGCCTAGGATTCAACTGGCAATTGTGAAAGTATCATTTTTATCTAATGCAGAAAGACTGCTTAACTTAATAACTTAAACAACGTTGTCCCTGCTGGGGAAACTTTGAGATGGATGATTTCATACATAGAAGATCTGCAAAAGACATCAGTAGGAGGTTGGTAGCTCTTCCGTCATCACATCACTGAGTACAGTGCAGCCATGTTAACTACAAGAACACAAGTACTGGATCAGCTTGAGCAGATTTTCGTAGGTAAAAAAAATATTACATTTTAGAAAGGGGGGGAAATAATTTGTTTAACCCAGGGTGTGATCCCAGGTTGATCTAACTTGGTGTGTCATCAGTGGACACAGCGCACAGTTCCGCCTCGTACACTCACATACGGATGTGACATCCTGGAATGAACCTTTGTACAACCTTCTGACAAGGAAACGTGTCAGTACCGACAAGGAGCTGGAAGCACCTGTTTGACCACAGCGACCCTAACCTTTACGACAACTGCAGTGAGTCCAACTGTGTGGAGTCCAAGTTGTCTGAATGAAAGATTTACAGTGACTGTGAATCAAAGAATCCATCAACACAGCACCGACCGTGTAAATAACATTTAGAAATGCCTTTTCCTCCAGAGTCTAGAGTCTGTGCACTTACCCGTTTTTCGAAGGGATTGTCGTCGCTGGGTTTGGGTGACAGGGACGACCAGAGCACAACCAGACCGAGAAACGTTCCAACCACGAGCAGGCTCCGTAGAATAAATCCCACCTTCAGTCTCATGTTGCCAGCAGCTCCCAGTTAGTTTAGCTTAGCTTAGCACGGCTCAGCTTGGTTAACTAGCAATGTTACTAACTGGGCTTTCAGCTTCTTTTTTTCCCACACAGCCCTGGAACTAAATTTGTTAAAGTTAAAACCGCAGCGGTGACGTGTGTCCGGTTTGCATGGAGGGGTTTCACCAGGGACCAGGTGAGCCCTGTGTCCGTTTCCTGAAAGATAACTGCCCGGCTAGTGCTACTGTTGTGTCTAGCAGCTTCTGGTGGAGGGGCAGCAGCACACGGCAACTCCTGTCAGCGCGATAGTAAAACGGGAACGTTTTCCAGAATATTCCGTCATATTGACTTTAAAGTCTACAGCTCTATTTTCGTGCCCCCGGTGTCTCCTACTGTCTGCCCCGCTCCTGACACGGCTCTGTGGGCAGCACCACCCTGTGGCTAAGAAGTGTGCAGGTGGGAGGAGACACGATGCCGTTTAAGGCTGTAGGACAGCGTTTCTCTGGAAACGGAAGTCGACCTAATGGGTGGTGTTCCCAAACCTACCAGACCGAGGCGCTATGTATAATGATTCCTAAGCTTAGCGGATAATCAATAAATGCCATTTTGAATCCAATTAAAATATATATAATTTATTGTAATTATATATAACACACACGAACACAAAGCACAGTTTAGCATTTCACTCTGTAGCTATTAACTTTACACAAACATTCAGACACCTACCTAACCATATTAGTAATTTGGCTGACATACGCCAAGTGAGTCACAAGCATTTGTGGTCTACATGTTTGTCCAGACTGCGGGCTACAGCTCAACAAAGATTACCAATGCAAGTCAAGCCTACCATGCAATGTGAATACCTGAAAGTCAGCAGTTACCCATAAAAAATAAAATTTTGTTATTCACAACGTGAAGTTATATTACAGTAAAATCTGAGGCTTAAAACCGCAGTGTACTTCTATGCAACCGTTGCCCCTAAATAATGAACCCTACGTAGATCAAGACGGACATGGACTGAGGTTCAGTAAACACCACACTATAGAAAAAAGAACATACAATGTTGATACAAAAGTTGGCACAATCAGTGAATTACAGACAAAATGATAAAAACACAAGAAGGAAATGCAATTATTTTATAGAACAGTACACTCCAAATAAGTCCTTCTTAGGATGAGAATTCGGAACCAACTTGTGTTATTTGTGAAAATATTTGATTATTATTATTAATTTGGAAAGGAGGGGATGGCGGAGCTGCCTCACAGCATCAGCCTGTGTGTTTGTGGTCTATGTATGCTCCAGATAGTTGGTGAGCAGTGGCGGCAACGGAAGACATGAGAGCTGCTTCAGTCTGGATCGACCAATCGAATTCCTGATCTGGATGCGACACAGCTGGCAAAGAGTCCTCGGAGAAGCTGGAAGAAACAAAGTTAGATTTATAATAATAAAACACATGTTTTCAATTAAGTTATAAACCTCAAGAAAATCTACATTGACAAAATATGTAATAAAAAAGGCCCAATATTAAAGGTATATTTCGTATATCCCTGAAAGATTTAAATGGTTTGCTTACTGTGTTGAAAAAGGCTCACAAGATTACATCTATGCACAACTATAACGTATGCGCATTTTAATTTGCATTCAAAACGCGTGGATGAAATAGCACCACACGAGGCTTCCTTCCCTACTTCAACTCATCTCCACTGAGCTTCTACTATCGGTACACTATACCTTCAAAAGCTTGCAGAAGCTTCTTGGTTTTTCCACTAGAGGGCGCCAAATCGACAGGTCGTTTGTTGGAACGGTCTCTGAGGTTGACGTCAGCGCCGTAGTCCAGCAGGACTGAAACCAGATCAGCGCTGTCCAGTTTAACAGCAGCGTGAAGAGGACTCTCTTCTCCACAGCCTACATTAGCACTGGCCCCTGCAAAAGAGGATAGGTTTCTTTTCTACTTCTTCACACCTTCTTTGTTATATATTTAATTTAAAACAACTTTTAACAAAAAAGAATGCTATTATAATAGTATATATACTATATATATAATTTAGTTAGTGAAATATTATTCTACAACATACTTTGTGTTCGAGCAACCTTTTGACTGTGTAATGCATCTGAAGTGACCAGGCAGAAAGGTGCAGTAAATCAAACACACCTCTGTGTAACAGGATCTTGGAGCAGGCAGTATGTTGGTGAAGACAGCTCACATACAGGGGAGAACCCTGATGGGACAGCTGAGCGTCTGGATCAGCTCCATGGGCCAGCAGTACTTCTACACACTGGCTGCTACCTGCACACACACATTTACACATATTCACTTCAGAGACACCGTGGTCAGTGAACGCAGCACATCCACAAGTGTGAAAACGTCAATGGCTTTTTTTTATTATCGGAGGAAAAACCTAAAATGATTCTTATCCCTATTTAAGACAACATTTTTTTAGTATGGAAAATAGAATAACAAAAAAGAAAAAAACAAAAACAAAATTAAAATCCCTTTACAATATACCTTTGGCTAACATATATTATATCTGTAATTTTAAGCATTTAATATATTTCAGGTACAACATTTCGATAAATTTGGTCAACGTTCTCATTTAAATTAATCGGTTTTGAGCCAAAGTTATGCGCGAATGATTCCTTTATCCTCACCTCTCTTGCAGGCTTCATGCAGAGCGGAGGGAAAGTGTGTGTGCTGGGCACGTGCGCGAGCTCCACTTTGCAGCAGCAGTTCCAAACAGCCGGCATTTCCAGAAGAGCAACAGTTGAATAGAGGAGTGACACCGTCGATGGTCGCAGCATTGACCTTTACACAGGAAAGTAGTGATGACCCTTTGTTCAGTCACATCCAATTAAAAACAGCCTAGCCAATAAACAGGGGGCGTTGTCTGTTTGATGGACATCCTCTTTTGGAATATTGGAATAACCCGATCGATTCCAGTCTAAATAAATGTAAATAATATTATCCTCCTTAATTCCACCCATTGAATCTTTTCACTATTTCCAGGCCGTTTTCAAATGGGGCAGTGGTGGCTTAGTATTTAAGGTAGTGGACTTTGGTACGGAAGGCTTCATGTTCGAGTCCATCAGCTGCCAAGTTACCACTCTGAGCAAGGCACCGTCCCCACACACTGCTCCCCGGGCGCTTAAAGCTGCCCACTGTTCACTATGGTGATGGGTTATATAACGTCACTACTGAAATACTTACATTAGCTCCAGCATTTATTAATGCTCTGACGCAGGCTACGTGTCCTGACAGGCAGGCTTCATGGAGAGGAGTTACATGATCGATGGTGACAACATTGGGGTAAAATCCCTAAAAAAGAGTAATGTGTCGCAAACGTTTTGTGAGAAAATGTATTGAATAAATATTCTTTTCTCTTTAAAAACCATCTATTCGGAATCTGCAGGCATCACCTGGTCCAGCAGAGTACGGAGGCCGAGCAGTCGACCCTGAGATGCCGCTTCATGGAGGGGGGAGCGATCTGCCCAAGACCCTAGACACAAACACACACACACACAGAGAAGTTACACTTAAGGGTCAACAACTGTAAGAAGTTATTTAATTCACACAATACATTTCTAACTTGATGATGTTGCTCTAAGTAGTCCAGTATTTTACATACAAATATATATTTACAAATATATGTTTTTTATTAAACTGTTTAAAATAATCAAAAAAATAATAATCAGAAAAAAAAGAAAAAGAATTACGATCTTTTGATCGTTATATTTACCATCATCGAAGTGGAATCTAAGTTTTTAAAAATGGTTTAAGGCAGCAGTTGTCAATTATTTTATGTCTTGGCGACAGAGATTTTTTCACGTCCTCCCACTGTCCGACCCACAAATTGAAATATTATTGATAACATGTATGTTTTTATCTGTACAAACCACCAGTATGAGTTGCTGCCACCTAGTGACTGGAGGCGTCTTATCATTCAAGCATTACAGCAGTGGTCCAGCGTGCCATATTCCATTGGAAACCCCTCACACCCCCCATGGCACCTCACCACGCCCCCTTAGGGGACTCGCCCCACTATTTGAGAAGTACTGGTTTAGGGTATTACTGCATAAAAGCAAGTGGGTGGTTAATGCCATGGCTTAATAAAGAGTGATAACTTTGACCTTGGTATTTGTTGAATTTTGTAAAAAAAAATGTATTTCTTCCACAAAGGTAAAATAACATTAGAATCTAATGATGATGTGTTTTTTTTGAAGATATAACGTTAACAGGTATTTGTTGAATTTTGTAAAAAAAAAAATGTATTTCTTCCACCAAGGTAAAATAACATTAGATTCCTGAATGATGTTTTTTTCTGAAGATATAAAGTTTTTCCATTTTAAATTACATTCACCAAGACTTAAAGTCCTAAAGTGTGTGTGCTACCAGAACGCAGAGCGAGGCCACAGCAGCAGGAGTTAAATTTAGGAGTAGTGACTCCAGTTTCTTTTGCACATACCAAAACCAATCAGTGGACGTTTGTTTGTAGTCCTCTCAGTGACAGATTTACACTCCAAAATAAAAGGAAATAACCGGACAACTTAAAGATATTGTCTTATTTCACAATGTAATCACTTTCACTGGTTATATGTGTTTAAAGCAAATGTCGTTCATTAAATAACACCCGCCCACGCACAAGGAATAACTCAATAACATTTGGCACATACCCATATCTCCATCTCCCCACGGCACATCCAGCCACTGGTAGGTGTAGGACATGGTGACAGAAGTGAAACTGAAAGCAGCTCCACATGAAGAGCATCAGACTGAGTGGCTGCTCGGAGCCAACACATTGCAACATTGCATGACTGCAACACTGCACAGCCTAAAAATAACTGCCTGTGAGCTTAGCTCACGAAATACGGCACATTATAGAGGAATATGATCCATAATAATGTATACATTCTTAAAGGGGGAATTATTGATACACCGGGGGTGTCCAAAACCTGGTCCAGGGGTCCAATCATGGCCCTCTTTATAAATACTATTTTATCAAGATTTATCTGTTGGATTTGTTCGTCAAATCTTATTTATCTGAGGCTGCCAACGCATTTTTTGATGTTTGCTAACAACAATATGTCTGTACATTTCACTGTGAAGAGAGAAGATATATACAAATATATATTTATATATATTGCTGAATATAACTCCAGTTCACTGTAGTCAGTATGTAATCAGCATAAAGGAAAATTCAAGTGACATTTGAAATATAGTGCTAATAATTTTGGCCTTATTGTTTTTGGCATTTTGTAAAATATTACTTTCTTAATGCACAGTAATAAACGATTCCCAAACGTGTTTAAAAACAAATTAGAAAAAGAAATGATCCCAAAACGTAATAATATCTTTGTTATAAACTGCGTATACAAAGTTTATTTTCTGTTTTTTAATGATATGATAATTATTACTAATGCCAGATTTTGAGGTTCTTCTACCGACCTTGACTGGTCAAAATTCCCCAGCAGGTCCTTTTCCTGTCCGGGCCTCGCTCAGGTGACGATCCGGCCTCTGCGCTTCTTTTCCGGGATACGTCCGGAGTGAATCCAGCTGGGACCTCCGGCATGTTCCAGGGCTCGAGTACACGGGATAAACTATCAGAATAACACAGAAGCACGAAGACTGGTGACAGAGGGAGCGAGAGAAAAAAACACCACTGGAGAAGAATTGAGATAGATGATTGGCTAAGATGAGGGAGACGCTCAAGAGAAAACGCGTGATTGGCTGAGAGGTTTTGTTGCCGTTGCCTTCAACCCACGTGACTATCGTCACATTCTCGCCCACGTGTTCATAGAGGAAAACTGTTTTTGTCCCAATGCGACGGATTTCTTTCTTCGTGGTCAATAACAAAATTTAAGTGTGATTTTTTTTAATCCGGGGTACTTACTAAAAAGGACAACATTTTAAAACCGTGTATTGATAGAAGCCTATATATACACAGTTTGTATTATCCAATTTGTTGATCTTTTCGTAAGCTGTTTTTTCATGTTGGTTTAATTGCAACAAATGGTCCAAAAAATCGTTTCACATCATTGAACCGAATTATAAAAAAACTAACAAAATGGAATGTCTGATGAGATAGCGTTATAATATATCAATAAATGCGTAATAAATCATTGTAAATAATTAATTCATCTTTTGCCGGGGAAATTCCTTTAACTAATAACTAATACATGAATTAATTCACAAACAAACAAACAACAACAACAACAAAAACATACCTACTTGTAAAATGTCGCCCTGCAGTGTTTAAAACTGTTACTACATAGCCAAATTCAAATGTCCTTCTGCCCACTACATAAGAGAGCCACGGACATTACCTTTCTATAAAAATAATTAATCAATTACGTAACTTTTTTTAAAAATGTGGGAGTACTGATTTGCCGTTAAAGTCTTGTTGGTTCAGACGAAGTACGGTATAACACGTAGTAAGATATTATTTGAGTACTTAATTTTGTTTTTAAATATAGAATAGAATGACTAAATTGTATTTATTTCATATGCTTGCATGTGCAAATACTACTGAGCTTTTTGTTGACCCATTTTTATTTTAAAGGCTTACTTTTAAATAAACGGTACCTTCTTCCGCTTACTCATCGCTCCCGTTTCAATGAACTTCCTTTTTTCGACTATGTTAAACTGACGCTGATACATACAAACAGGAAGTCATCGCATTGCCGAATACAATTCTAAACACTAGTCGATTTTTTGATAGCGAGATTATTTCTTAATATATACTGCATAAAGTAAAACATTAATATACACTTTTGATTAAAGCCTAACCCGTACGAATATACAGTTGTTTTAAGATAGTGGCCCATCGTAAAACGACACCAGCCGAGTAGAGCTTTGTCTTATTTTGGAAAGAACAACAAGAAGAAGTACACGCATCTCCCGTTTCTAAAAACTTGACACTTCCGCTTCGAGACCACGGCTAGCTGAACTGTTCTGATTCCAGGGTTGTATACGAGCTAAAGATGAACACGGTTCTGTCTAGAGCGAACTCTTTGTTCGCCTTCTCCTTGAGCGTTATGGCGGCGCTGACGTTCGGTTGCTTTATCACCACGGCCTTCAAAGATAGACGAGTTCCGGTGGACATCCACGTCTCCAAAGTCATGCTGTAAGTGGACGGACAGCTGTTAGCCTGTACACAGCACATCATCTAAGGCGGATGGGGATGTTGACGGTCTCATCACCTTTTGATAAAATTATTTTCCTTGGGGATGTTGACGGTCTCATCACCTTTTAATAAAATGCTTTTCCGCATAGACTAAAATCTCAATTGATTTAAAGTCGAAAATGAAAATGATATAATAATGCAACAGACGCAATAGTTGAATTGTATTATTCACTGCTATTTTAACGAATAATTTTATTACTAGTTACTCAGAAGGAGTCTTAAATAAAATGTACACGTACAGTGGGACGAGTTTTAAAGGAAACCGGTTGATGATAAATGATAACATAACTTTTTTAAAGGAAACCGGTTGATGATAAATTATAACAGAACTTCATAACGTCTCTCTTTTCTGTGTCTCTTTCAACAGGAAGAACGTCGATGACTTCACAGGACCCAGAGAGCGCAGTGATCTCGGTTTCATCACGTTCGATCTCTCAGCTAATATCCTTCTTTTTCACGTTTGTCAGAAACAGTATCACGTTAACGGTAGATAGTGTGTGACCTTCAGCATTTCGGCAACTACGAGTCATTTCTATCAAACTGGTTATGATTTTTTTTCCATAGTGATTTGGTCACATGAGGTGTCCTTGCCTGACAGAAAGGCACTTACGAAATCAAATTTCTTGTTATTATTATTTTGATCACACCTCCACCACTCTTTGATCCTTAACCTTTCGTACATTTGCAGCCAATCTTTGACTGGAATGTCAAACAGCTGTTTCTCTATCTGTCTGCAGAGTATACAACAAGGAACAATGTAAGACACACAACATTGTTTCATCAACAAAAAAAAAATCATTGCTCTATTTGATCATTTTGATGTGACCTGTTCTCATGTTTGGTGGATGAGGTACAAACAAATTTGTTGTTGTTTTTTTTTTTTAATAAATGATGGACCAGTGTTTGTTAGTTCATGTGCGTTTGTCTCTGGGGTTGTGACCTTACTCTGAGAGCCACTCCACTAGGTGCACATGTTTAGTATAATGTAGATTTGTTGGTGACTCGGCCTTTTTTTGTGTGTCCACAACAGGCTCTAAATCAGGTGGTACTGTGGGACAAGATTGTCCTTCGTGGAGAAAACCCCAAACTGTACCTGAGAGACATGAAGTCCAAATACTTTTTCTTTGACGACGGTAATGGACTCAGGTAAGACTCTCACCAACACTGGTGCGCGCACACACGTATTCTTTTCACATGGTCTCTTTCTCAAGAGTACACAAACAGGTACTGTTCTGATACTGACATTGATGCTTTAATCCAAAATAAATCATTTAAATAGACGGCAACATTTGCAATAAATTCTAAATATTAACAACCAATACCAAGAAGAGTAGGCCTAAATGAATCAAATGCTGTAATATGGTGTGTTTTTTTCCCCCCATCTTTCCAGGGCAAACAAGAACATTACTCTCACACTTTCGTGGAACGTTGTTCCCAATGCTGGACTCCTCCCCCTTGTGGCCGGAAGCGGACACATGAGTGTACCGTTCCCAGAAACGTATGAGATGACCAAGAGTTATTAGAGTGAAACCAACAAATGCACAAGCAGCCAGTTTGACATGCGTGCGAACACAATACACTGGTTTCTCTTTGGATGTGTGAATTTTTTTATTTTAATTTGTAATAAAACTTAAGAATTGGAGTATCTGTGTCTGTTTTTGATAATAAACGGTTGGTACAAGAACCCTGGCGTTAAATTATTGAACTTGTTTGTAACTCACTGAATCCAGAACTGCAAGCATTTTTTTAATTTTCAGAGCGTTTGAACTCGAGAGAAGAAGAAGAAGAACCATCAGAAATAAAGTGTACACTTTATTCAGTTTCACACTGATGCAAGGAAAATAATGACACACTTTATTCAGTTTCACACTGATGCAAAGAAAATAATGACAAGACAGGTTCTCCAGAAGTCTCATTGATTTGCATAATAGAAAACACTTATATACACAGAGTTGACATGATGCAAAAAATGACCCTACCTGCCACTTTGGTGGTTTGTAACATTAAAAAAAAAGTCCTGTGTATGTAGTGTTCCAACAGTGATTGATACGAAGATCATGTCCATTATTAAGGAGGCAGAAAATCTTTATCACTGTCTTTGTAAATAATGAATGAGAAACCCGAAATGAAATGGGTTGTCCCCAAAGAATGTTAGCATCTCAAAAAAAAAATGTCTCAATCGTGATAGCACCCCAAGATGGAATAATCTGGAAACAAAAAAAGAAAATTAGAATCAGACTGAACAAAAGACATGGATAAAACAAGTAGTGGAGACTTTCTATTTGTTTTCAATTTTAGCTTAAAACTTAGTTTGAATTGATTTATTTGTGTATCAACTCTGATGGAAAAAAAATCCATTAGAGTGGATGTAATTAAGAGAGGAACCACTAGGGGAAAACCCCTCAAAATACCATTGATGGCTCACCTGTTTTAGTCCAATCGCTGAATAAGCTTCTCTTCCATCATACAGTAGAGGGCGATGTGGGAGAGATCAGAGATGAAGGCGTCACATGCTCGCCTGCTGATGCCAGTACAGCCTCTGAGGTCGAGTAGAGTCAGAGAGGACAGACGCTTCAGGTAGATCACACAGGCATCAGTCAGCTGGCTGCAGCCTGGAGAGACACACACACACACACACAAAAACTTTGAATACATGACTAGTGTCAAAAAAATAATCCAAACTTTGAATACATGACTAGTGTCAAAATAACTAATAAAAAAAACAATACCAAAAAATAATCCTCAAAACAATTCTTTGAGTCCGTGTCACAATCAAATCGTTAAGGGCTTCAGCGTAGAAAAGATCCCAGTCTCTACACAAAGTTTTCAGTCACAAAACAAATGTGTGGCAGTAATACTCAGGCAAACAAAGACTCCTGAGTTTGTCCTTGGTCCAGGTGGCTACAGTCGTTTTGAGTTTGTCAGTGTATGTTAGACAATGTCGAAGACGAACGACTGACCTGCCAGTGTCAGCTCCATCAGGTTGTTGCGACTGTGAGTCCCAGCAGCAGCCAGCATAGCCACAGACGAGTCGCTGATGTTCTTGCAGTGAGCCAGGTCCAGTCTGTCCAGATGAGGCATGTGTCTCTGTACCAGCCTCAGAGTGGACTCGCTGATGTCAAGGCCGGACAGACGCAGCGTCGCTATGTTCCTCAGCCGGCTGCGAGACGACTCAGCACCTGCAGAAAAAACACACCAGGGCATTCCAGACGGGTCGCAAAAGTTGGCATTCCTCTTAGCAGACGACAGTGCTGGTTTACTGACGCATACTAACAGACCAGAACAGAATGTGTCTGATGGTTGTAATCTAGCTCACCAGGTGGGGAGATTATCTCCTTAATCTGGGCGTCTTTAATACCATCACACCAGCGGAGGTCCAGCAGCCTCAGGCAGGGCAGAGAGGGAGAGACCAGAGCTGAGAGACACGACCAGGACAGACCAGTCAGTCTCAGTTCCCTCAGACCTGGACAACAGAAACAAGAAGTCAGGTTTTGATTATAGTTTTTTTTTTTAATACTGATAATATAAAATAATAATAATTAAGACTTACATTTTATATTATTGTTTTAAAAAAATGGGTAAAATAACCGAGAGACTCGGTTGAGCACTCGTAACTAGATGTTTCTTTAAATCTTGCAAAAGTTGCTTAAACGTAACATAAACACTTGTAGGCTTTTGGCTTTTGATAAACACACATACAGAGGAACAAATAAGAGTCTGACAAAAAAAAAATCTGATTTAAATCATGTACTACTACAGTGAACCAACAATGCTATGGTTTCACATCAAAGATTTTGGGTATTTTGCTACGTTCTTACACCTATTCCGTGTAATTCATACATTTTTGAACAACTGATATTTGGGGCCATATGCAGAATGTGAATAAAAGTAAATGAGTCCGTACCTGGGAGTCTGGTGAGGAGGCAGTTGAGCTGTCTTTTGGCCAGCGGCGTCCAGGACAGGTCCAGGGAGACGGGTTGACGTTTGACGATACCAGCCAGGGCCTGATTACTGAGGGGGCTGCAGCGACTCACGTCTATGTGGCTCCACAGACGCTTGTCACAGCTCCTGCACGGCAAAGTTAAGACAATGCAAGCAGAATACATTGTTAGAGAATGTCAGCTAAAAACGTTTGCTTTGTGTGGCAAACATTGCTGCTTTTTTTTATCATTTTTAAATCATAAAGCTACTAATTCACACAATTCGGTTTTTGATTGTATCCCTTCAATAATATTGACATTAATTATTTCAAGACAAAGTGTTTTTACTTTACAGAATTGAACTGACCCAGCCTTTGAAGTGAGGCGGATTAATACAACTAAATAAAATGATATGTTCAAAATAAAAACTGGTATTTTCTAAATATAATAATATGTATAATAATTTATTGCCTCGTAAGAGAGCCGCTTGCTGCGTATAATGCAGCGTGGGCACAACGTTTCAATAAATCCATATTTCAAGTAGGACTCCTGGAATTGTCTGTTAAATGCAGCTTAATTTTTCTTTAAAGACATCTCTTTTCTACCGCTCAGAGAAACTTTTCAAAGATGTTTGTTTTGCTAGAGAGAAACTTTTCAAAGATGTTTGTTTTTTGTTTATTTTTTGGGGGTTTCAATTTAGCTGGAATTTATTATGTGTAACCGACCCGAGCAGACCTTTTAAGAAGGTAGCGGATGTAGGTAAGACGTGACCAAGGCAAGCGTCTTTACATGAATCATCAAGTGTAAGAAGACATGTGACCGAGGCAAGCATCTTTACATGAATCATGAAGTGTGAGTCATAGACAGGTGCGGCGGGGAGAATGCTGTCATTTTTCAAAATAAAAAATCATTCAGTCAGATAATAAAGAAATCGGAAATAATGTAGTTTATGTATTCTTTTTGAGCGTCCCGGTACCAATTGACCCACAAACCAGGTGTTGGGGGCCCACTGGAGAATAAACGGAAATAATGTAGTTTATGTATTCTTTGGTGGTGGGACGTACCATTTGTACCAGGCTTTACAGACGGTCATGCAGGCCAGCAGCTCTGCCCTGTGTAGGTATTTGAACACTGACACCCACACCTCCTTTTCCCCTCCATTCTCATTCCCCTCCTCCTTGAAGGAGAGCAGGGAAGGCAGAGAGGAGTGCGCATGAAGCGCAGCTCCTTCCTGCTCATCAGCGGACGATGCAGAACAGTCTCGAGTCCCTCTGTCTCCATGATGTCCTCGCAGTCGCGGCCTACAAGATTATTAAGATAATGTCAAAAAAATTCCAAATATTAGATGTTCAGAGCTGTTGCTGAGGAGTCTACAGTAGTGCACGCCGGGGTCAGAATTCAAGAGCTTGGAAATAAAAATATATATACGAGGACGAGGCTGACGAGCTCTACCTTCCAGGCCCTCTTGGAGAAACCCCATCTGCTGCGGAGTCTGCACTCTTCAGTCTCGAAGCTTTAGACAGCGCCGTCTTTCTCTGGATAAAGTTCTGTTGACCACTGGGGCCCCCCACCGCTGTCCTCACACCCATGGCTGCTTCCAACTTTGGGACGATGGAGCCTGAACATCAAGAGGATGTTATTATACGTGCATTGCATTTCATTTTTATTATTATTTATTTATTTAGTGTCTCCTAAGGTTGATTTATTTTTGTATTTTTAGTGGATTTTCATGATCAAATTCTACAAATTGATTTCCGTCATGAAGTAGCTAGATTACTTAGCACCTGGTCAGCATTTTTGCTACGCCTGCTTAAAAGTTTGCACCGTGCTGTGTGAAGATTACCAGACTGTCGCTTGGCCTTGTGGGGGCGCTGTAAGGTGACAGTCAAATAGGAGCCACTCAGCAGGTCGTCATTCAGATCAGACATGAGGAGCACTGGTGGCTCTGGATCTGATTCCCAGCGTCCGTCTTCCTCCCCGTCCTCATCGTCTTCATCTTCCAGTGTGTCCATGTCGTCCTCTTCAGGGTCAAACTCCTGCCCTTCGCTGTCATCATTCTCATCATCGTCAGCCCTGCGTCTTCCCCTGCTTCGACGCAGACGTTCTCGCCCTTCGTCTTCGCTGTCGTCGTCGTCATCCTCCTCCTCCTCATCGTCGTCGTCGTCGTCATCCTCGTCATCGGACTCCTCTGAATCATCTCCTCTTCGCTGCATCCTGGAGCCGCCCCTCAGCCTCACCCCTCGTCCTCTACGACCACCCTCCTTCCCACCCATTCCTCTCTTGAGCTTGAGCATGGACGAGCCACCGGTGAGGAAGCTGCCTCTGCTGCCCCCTCTGTGGGCTGAGCCTCCTCTCAGGTGGCTTCTCCTGTTGGTGACAAAGCCTCTCCTAGAAGAGTGCCCTCCTCGAGCGTGGAGTCCCATCCTTCTCCGCTGAGAGGCTGCACAGAATAAGATATGGTTACGAAGAGTTTTGTTTTGTTTTTTTATCTTTTAGGTTTAAATTACTTGGATTATTCGGGACCAAATCTTTGTTAATTCATGAACTCAAATCACTTGGTGTAAAGCTGGTGTAAGACAAACCTTCGTCATCATCATCACTTGCAGAGTCATCTCCATCACGGCTGTGTCTTTGCTGTCGGTAAATCTTTGCCAACCGAGCGTCCATGAGGGACGAAGATTTTCGCTTCTGCAGACACAAGAAAAAGAGAAAATAAAAAAGAGGAAACGTGAAATATTTCATCTTCTGCAGACACAAGAAAAAGAGAAAAGGAGAAAGAGGAAGCGTGAAAACATATAAAGCAAGTGAGTGAATTCTGAAATATTTCATAAAAAAAAGCTTGAAATTCAGACTCACCACTGTAAGGCCATCACCTTTGTCACCTTTGGACTGTTAAAGAAAGAAAAAGCAGACATCAGAACTGATGATAAAAGCCCAAGTGCATTTACTTCTATGCAGCCTTTAGAACTGGTCTGGTTTATTATTTCAACAGAGGAAAAACATGGAATTTGTCAGTCCAGGGTCCTACTGGTTCTTCTGATGATTTCAATATCAAAGTAATTTATGCTTCACATAAAAAAATGTGTTCATAAAAGGCACATCAAATGTTGGCAAACACACAGACAAGACTATAAAAAAAATAAAAATTCTCTAATAGCAGGTTTACTGGTCTGTAAGTTGAGCGCACACATGCTCCTGTAGATCAAGTGTTGGCTCTATGATGTCATGTAATGTCAAGTGATTTACAGTATACTATATCAACCCCAATATAAACTCTGTCAATGCTGTCATCATCAGTTTTGTGTTTTAGAAATTCTAAAGTTTTGCTTTAGGGTACAAACATTGTTTGATCCGTGAATCTCATTTTGGCAATCAAATTCCAGGCTGACACTTTTACCAGATCAAAAATATTAAATGTAAGACAATCAATCACACAACCGTAAACTTTTACTTCAACACAAATGAAACAGAACTTGCGGCGGAACGTAAACCTTTCCTTGATATATCATGGACAAAATAATGATTTTGAACAAACAAACGAATACACAAACACTTGAAATCCACTGTAGCTCAAATAACTGACAAAGTGTCAACAAAGTGGAGATGGACTCCAGACCAATGGGAAAAGACTTCTCCAGGCAACAAATCCCAGACAAAACTGGAAAATAAATGTCAAAAACAGATAGGGACAAAGCAGAAAATGAAGTTTTTTATGGACAAGCTCTTCAGACTATACACATTTTCTCAGGTCAACTTTAGGCTCTTAGCAAATGTCTAACTTTTCTTTTATCTTGCAATTTTAATTCTTAATTTTATATTGCTATTGCTGCTATATTTATGGCTCCTTTTAGCCATTTTAGACATTTCTTTTCTGCCCATTTGTAGCTGTTTCACAGTTGACCTTGAGTTGCTTTTGATAACATATTTCTATATTTTTTTGGCTGTCGTGCCCTCAGTGCGTGGGATTTTGCAATATAAAAATATATTAAAAAATTTTCCAGTATTTTAATTTTTTGTGATAAAATGGATTTTCTAGCATAAACAGTAAAAATAATGTAAATAATAAAAAAAGAAAGACATTTTGTAACATACATACAGGGTATTTCAAGAAATAACCTGTACGTACGGGTAAACAAGATTTGCGAAACTTCTTTGCCTTATTTTATGCCCTACGATGCCTCCTCAACGGTTCGTAAAGGGTTAACATATATGTAAATAATATAACTATAGCATCTCTTTTTTGTGGATT